TCACGCAGAATGAGACTGGTTTAATGCATCACAGTGCAGGGCTTCAGTGCACTGCTGTGGCAAGTCACCGGGCAGCTCTCAATGCAGCCATGCGGCACGTTCTCCACTGGGCACGGTCGCGCGTAAGGAGCGAGGTACCAGATTGGGTTATCATTTGCTTGTCTCCAGAATATTTCTAGAAAAATGAAAGGAAAAAAAACTTTGAGCAGGGATGCCTCGGGAGTGGCGGTGGTGGGTGTAGGAAGAAAATGCACCAAGCAGTCCTTTGTACCTTTCACATGCTTGAGCTACTGCACCTGCCACTGGGGCTCCGGCGGATCCAGGGTGCAGTTCTCGCCGCTGGGTGAGAATCACCCCAGTTCCATTCCCAGCAATGCATTCCCTGTGCGGCTGCCCCTGTCCGTCTGTGGAGGCTTGCTGTGTGTTGGTGCGATGCAGAACAGGAAGAAAGGCCTGACGGTCTGTTTCTCCAAATCACCAAGGTCCTATCTGCAACCAACCGCGGCCCGGTGCCGGGGCAAGCAGTGTGACAGTCCACTGTGCATGCGGTTGCCAGGTCTCGGGGTCCAACTCAGCAGCCCCCTAACAAACAGAAACTGCATCAACTGAGGGGCAGTTGAAGAGTTCAGTGAAGGCACAGTTAGATAGGTGAGGGGTAAGGAGGGGGGGCTAGGGGGCTGGGGGTGGCAAGGCACCAGCAGGAGTCAGACAGCCCTGGGCTGAAAGAGGAAAGGTCTTGCCCTCTGTTGGAGCCTCTGGAATTTCAGCTGGGAGAAGGACAAGGACACAACTGTTGCCAAAATGCAGCAGCTGGGGATGAGGGCGAGAGGGAGGAAGGGAGGGAGGGAGGGAGGGAGGAGATCCCAGCTCTTCCTTCCTGTGCAGCCTCTGAGCCCCAACCCGTAGGGGGCTCCCATTGCCTAACTCAGCCAGAGCCCGGAGACCCAGGAACTGGGTGATGCCCGCCCCGGTGGACGCTCCAGCACACATGGCCAGATGGGGAAGGTGCGGCGGGAACGTGGAAGTACACCGAGAATAAGCAACCCGGGCTTCTATTTGCCCATTCAAAATTCGGTCCGCTCTTACTGGTCTGGCAGAGACAGGTGGACCTCCTGAGACTCTGGCCCCGTCGGCACCCCGTCTGGGACTGACCTCACCCCCGTGACTCAATTTTCAGCCCAACAACAGGCAGGTCTATGAAGTCAAGTCACTGCCGTCAGGTTGGATCCCGCTCACAGCAACCCTAGCAGCAGAGTAGAGCTGCCCCTGTAGATTTCCAAGGTCGTAAATCTCTCTTTTTGGGGGGGGTGTGTGTGTGGATTTAATACATCTATTATATTCCATATTTCAATCACGTCAAGTAGAATTGTACAATTGCTAACACAATCCGTTTCCAAACATTCTTTTTGCACATGGACTCTTTGACATCGTCTCCCTTTTACCCCCTCCCCATACCCCCCAACCCCTGACCCCCTTATTCAACCTGCTGTCCCTATAGTTTCATCAATCCTGGGTTTCCTATACCGAAAAAGGGAAAGTACACAACACAGCTTCAAGAGGGTGCCTTCCATTGACATAACACCTCTGAGGTACACTCTGCTTTGAACAAAAAAACAATACAAACCAAAAATACAGAAAATTTGGGAAACCAGAGCCGATCCAGTCCAAGGTTGTCAATCTTCGTGGGACTAGAAAGCCTCATCTTTCTCCCAGGGGTGGCTAGTGGGTTTGAAACACCAACCTTGAGGTCAACAGCCCAATGCATAACCCACTACACCACCAGGGCTCTTAGATGGATCTGGAGGATGAAGAATAACTAACATCAGAGTGGACCCATCATTAGAACAATCCGTGACAGGTGACCTAAAGGGCAGTGTTTGCCCCAAGGAAAGCCCGGGAGGCAGGAAGGGATGGGAAAGAAGGAATCTGCAAACTGGAAATGGGGAGCGTGGGGCAGAGGAGGACTAGTGTAGTCACATCCCAGGGACTGCCATTAACACCCAAGCCAGAATGTGCGTGGATTGTCCAAGGGAAGCCAATCTGCTCCAGAAGTCTTCACCCAAACCACCCTAACGAGAACAAACCAAGCAGATGTGAGGGGGCTTTGAAAAGTTCATGGGAATTCCATTTACCTTGAGCTAGTCTGGGTAGACCAGCGAAACACATCCAGAGACACTCATCTATGTGTGTGAGAGAATTTTACATCAAAGAGCAATTGCACATTGAGAAAACATCCCAGCCCAGTCCACATCAAGTCCATAAGTCTGATATTGCCCCATATGTTGATACTAGTCCATAACATCCTCTTTAGACTCACGCAGCCAGGTAATGATGCTGAATGCAGGAAAATCACAGGCCTGTGGGTGGAAAGCCTTGTGGATCCAGTGGCGGTGGAAGCATCTCAACACTGGCAGGGGTCTCCACGTGGCTCCGTGTGGCTCCTCAGGGCTCCATCAGCATAGCTGCACGTGGCCCACCAGCAGGAAGACAAAGCAGAGCATTTGAGTGTATCTGGCCTCCAGGGAGCTGTTTATCTCCGTGGCGCCTCCAACTGAGGTCATCAAGCTGCGACCTGATTGACAGGCTAGATTCTACCCCTTCACAAGTTGACAGGGGATCATGTAACTGCGACCTATCTCTTCATTCTATTTCTTCACAAACTTTTGGAAGCCTCCCCCCACTACCCCTCATAGGAACCAGACAGGTATTTTCAACTTTCGGCAGTCACCGTAAAAGAAATAAGAAGAAACAGGCAGGAGGAACTCATTTTAATCATAATTTCTTATTCACTGGAAGATCTATGAAATGTTGTAAAACATCATTTTAGGGCAGCTCAACGTCATCACATCCCGGGCCTCTGTTAAGATGAGGGTGCATCTGTCCTGTCCTCAGGTGCGACCAGTCCTCCACCTGGTATCTGCTCAGGTGATTGGCAGTTCCCATCGGCCTCTGTTGCCAGGCTTCCAACTCCCCTTTCTCTGTGTGCAGACCGTGAAGCCCCCAACCCATGCTCACCTGGGTCTGCTCTCTGGAGGCTGGAGGACCAGCCACAGGCCTCCAGGGAGGAGGTGGAGCTTCCAGGCCCCCTCACCCCAGCTCCCTGGAGCCATCTCTGCTCTGTGGTCACATCGAGCTGGACACTTTAGGGCCCAAGTGTGTTGGACGCACTTTCCTGGGCCCACTGGGAGGACCCCTCTGGTCTCCACTGCCTCAAATCAATACACTGATCTAAATCTGCCCGCCCCCCTCCAAGTCCCTCCTGGCTCCCCTTTGAGCTCTCATCCCCTTGCCAGCTCCCAGCAACCACAATCTGAAGGAGGAAACTATCGGAAGGAGGGAAGCTCCAGGATCCCCTCTTAGCAAAGGCTTTTGAACTCAAAAGTTTAAAAACTCAAGAATTCAGCATTTTCCCTTTCCGGTCCATTTCTCCTGGGCCGGGGCGGTGGGGTGTGTGTGTGCACCAATTCAGCACTCACAGTGACGTCTCCCTGGACACAGCCAATCATCCCCTGGGCATAGTTCTCCCCATCGCGGTCTCATGTCCAGTTGGAATTAGTGGCCACCTTGGCCGGCTGCCAAGCCACCACTCAGGAGCCAAACAGTTACAGTGAGGGCCAGAAAGAGGCAGGGGCCTTGTCCAAGGTCACAGAAAAGGGTGCAGGGTAGTGGTTCTCAACCTTCCTGATGCCAGGTACGACCCTTTAATACAGTTCTTCATGTTGTGGTGACTCCCAACCACAAAATTATGTTAGTTGTTGCTTCATAACTAAGTTTGCTACTGTTATGAATCGTTATGTAAATATCTGATATGCAGGATGTATTACCCAACCCCTGTGAAAGGGTTGTTAGAACCACTGGCGTAGGGGGCTTCTCCAGGTCTCCTGTCTGATGTTGCTTCAATAGCAGTGGGGAGGCAGAGCCCCGGGGTGTGGCCATGCCTGGAATTCGTTGGTTGCACAGCCCTGCTCTGTCTCAACCACTTGCTACCCCACACCTTGGACCGCATGACTGTGCTCCCATTGAGCCCACTCCTCTTTTGAGGGGCGGGGGGCTATCCAAGGACTCCTTACTAAAGCCTCCTTGTCTAGTCTAGAGGGGAAATTTCTGGTACTCAGGAAAAGCCCCTTGCTTCCCCTGCCCTACCCAGATCTCCCACATCTGGTGGTGGGTGCCTCAAATCCCACCCTGAATACCCTTCCCTCCTGCAGCTGAACAGCCCCATCTGTGCTTACGTCAGCCCAGGACGACCGTGTGCCAGAGCCCGAAACCAAATGTCGATGAGTCGGTTCCGACCGGTCGCGCAGCCACTGTGGATAAGTGTGTTCACCAGGACTGGGGAGGCCAAGAGCTGGAGGAGCAGAGCCCCCTGCCTGCCTCCCAAAGCCTGGGAGTGACTGGGGTCCTGCTGTCAATACCACCAGGAAACCGCCAAAGGCCTGAGTCCTGTCTCGCCCTTTCTGGCTTGACTTGGTGCGAATGCTCCCTGGGTGTTGAGAACAACCTCTTGCCCTCCTCCAGAGGAGCACCCTGAGTGGTAGTACCCACCTCGGCTCTCCAGCCTACAGGGCAGGACTTGAGGGAGTTGGGGGTGGGGGTGCGTTGAACAGGTGGTACTCCGGAGCTGTTCCGGAGACAAGGTAAGGGGCAGTCTGGTTAGCGTGATTTGTGCTGAGCGCCCCTGGGTTCTAAAGTGGCCCTTTCCAGTCACCAGGGGGTTGTCTAGGGGCTGTTAGCCAGGGTGCCTGAGAGAAGAGGAGCAGATTTGCATCAAAAAGAACCCTGGCTTCATTGAAATTCTGCTCATCTTGAGAGCAACAAAACCGTGCAAGAAAAGAAAGGTTTCATTCTGAGCTCCTTCACCATGGAGGGGGAGGGCTTTGAGCTTCTAAATATAGAGAGGAAACAGGCTTCTTTGGACTACTCCAGTTGCCGCCTCCCCCACCCCCACCCGGCCTCTGCCCGCCCCCACGGCCCACTCAAGGCCAACCTCTCCGCTTCCAGGCAAGAGAAGGAGCTCTCTGCGGTGGATGCCCACGCAGATGCCACAAAGTTCTGGAGCTGGACGCAGCACCCTCCCCAGGGACCCCAGTATGCCGGACAGCAGAGAGGTCCCACAAGAGAGTGGGCCAGACACAAGCATGGGGGCCACCCGGGAAAATGTGGGGAGCAGGTAAGCCGGTAGTCAGGTCTTCTGTCCATGAGCCTGGGGGCCAAGTCTGGGTCTGGGCAAACCTGGGCAAGCTGTGTGAACCTGGACAAGCTGCATCCTCTCGGGGCTCAGTTTCTCCTCCTGGGAAAGGAAGGGCAGGGTCCTGGTGACCTCTGACAAGGAGGACACACTGGACTGGGACCTTGATGTTGGGAGCCACTCCTTCCTGTAGAGGGGGAGGGGGGAAGGGTCTCACCCAGGAATGAGTTGGGGGCCACCCCTTCGTGGAGGAAAGATGTTTCTGTCAATACGGATTTTCCCTGTCTCCTCAATGGGGCGTTTGGCATTGGGGTCGAGCACAGGTCAGCCAGAAACCCCAGTGCCAGCTGGCCACCCTGCACTAACCAGTCTCTTTCTCGCTGGGCTGCAGCCTCCCCGTCTGTCCCCGAGGGTGGGCTTGAAGTGCGCCCGAAGCCCCTCTACCATGGGTGTTCTGCTGACCCAGGGCTGGGGACCAGTGGCTGGCTCCTGGTGGACCCTGTGCCTGCTCCCATGCGCACCAGTAGGCCTGCGCTCCTTAGGGTCTCCAATGGCGGGTCTTTGGGAAGCGGATCACCAGACTTTTCTTCCAAGGCACCATGGGGTGGGCTTGACTCTCCCACCTTTGGGTAACTACCGAGTGCACCTGCCAGGGAGTCCTGCGATTCAGAGGAAGTGGATTCCATTTGTCAAGGCCTGTCTCCCCAAAGGCCAGAAGCTCTGATGGCATAGTGTTCTTTCAGTGGGCTGCTAAACGCAAGGGCAGCTGTTTGAAACCACAAGCCGCTCCCCAGGAGAAAGATGGCCTTTCTATACTCATAAGAGTTAGTCTTGGAAACCCACAGGGGCAGTTCTACCCTGTCCCATAGAGTCACCCTGAGCGGCATCAACTCGATGGCAGCGAGTTTGGATTTTAACTTTGATCCATCCAAGGAGGAAGGAATTTTGATGGCGTCGTGGTTGTGAGTCAGGCTCTTAGCCACAAGGTCAGCATTTCAAAATACCCAGCCACCACCCCCTGGGGGGAAAGATGAGGCTTTCTAGTCCCGTAAAGAGTCAGTCTCATAAACTCACAGGGGCAGGTCTACCCTGTCCTACAGGGTCGCTGTGAGTCAGCATCCACTCAGTAGCAGGGAGTTTGGATTGTTTGTCTAACCAAGGAGTTTGGAGCTCCTGAGTAGATGGAGACACAGCCAGAGGTCAGATGCAAATGACTCCGGCCAGACATCTGTGACCCAGGCCCAGGAGGGACACAGAGGCAGGGGAGGCCGGCGAGAAAGGGGGCTTAGGTGACAGTCAGAGGGCAGAGGGAGAGCAGTGGCAATGGAAGAACATTTGAAGGAAGACTAGAAATTCGGGGATGGGATGGAGAGTGTGTGGTGGGGATGGGTATCAAGGGACGGTGGGGCGGGGGTTGGTGCTCCCGTCGTAATAGAGCGAGATGCCACTGTTTGAGCTGGGGCGTGTCCGGCCTGGCCACTCTGAGGGGTGTCATGGAGCGGCGAGAAGGAGTCTGTGCTGGTTCTTCTCAAAGAACTGCTCCAACTCCGGCCCTGGGCCCCAAGATGCTGCCCACTAAGCGGGGGAAGTAGATCTGGCCTCTCAGAAGCAGTGACTCCTCACCTGCATGGCTCCCTTCCCCGGACAGGCGCTTAGAGGCTGAACCCACTGGCAGTCAGGAACCCCCAGACCAGGCTGGAGTGCCTTCTGCATCTACCGTGGGGCCTGGCTATTCCACCATCTCCCCTCTCCGCCTCCCTGGGGACCGAGGGCTGGGGAGCAGGAGGCAAAGACGCTGCCCCCATGACATTCACTGGTCTTTCTCAACAGGCTGTTGGGGGCCTCAAGGTCCTCTCCCCCATGAGTGAGCAGGACCCCCAGGTAGGGACCTAGGGGAGCTCAGAGCCCCCAAGTGTTTTCTGAAGCCCATGGTGGGCAGAGAAGCCCTGCAGTTCTACATGTTTTGCTGAGTGACTTTGGGCAAGTTGCTTAGCCTCTCTGAGCCTTCGGGTCGCTCCCTGTGCAAACGTAAGTGTAATCATGCCAGACCCTGGCTGACCTGGCAGAATCGTCGGTGAATGCTCTCTGCTCGTGTGTCTGAGAAGCTACTTGTCAAGGGCAAAAGAACCCGCACAGCAACAGCCTGGGACACTCTGCTCGCGTAGCTGCAGCTGGGAGGCCTTGGGGCCCAGGCCAGCTCTGTTCCTGACGGACTCTGTGACCCTGGGCAAGTCCGTCAGCCTTCGCAAGCCTCAGCTTCCCCATCTGTCAGGTGCAGTGGCTGTTGTTTCCTACCAGTGAGCTGGCTCCAGCTCATGGCCAGTGGCCTCAGATTTAACAGGCCCAAATGTTGTCAGGGTCTCCACAGCCGAGTGCTTGAGCCCATCGCTGCGGCTGGTGCACCCAACTGTTTCACCAAGGGTCTACCACGCCCTGGCTGGCCCTCGATCCCCCAAACACCGCGCCTTCCCTTAGCAACACATCCCTCTGCCAATGTGTTCAAGACACGCGAGTCGGACAACCCAAGGGGTTTTCATGGGCTGATTTGGGGGCCGTAGATCACCAGTCCTTTCTTCCTAGCTTGTCTTCATCTGTCCGTCATGAGTAGTTGAAATGCTGATGGAGTAGCTTCCAGCAGCACGCTGTACAGATGGGCGGTGGATCTGACGGGTGGGGGTGGGGTGGGGGTGAAGAGACCTGATCCACTTGCCTTGCCGAGGGGCAGTGAGGAGAGAACTCTGGACTCGTGGCTAGATATTGTTCTAAAGTCTGAGGCAGTGGTTACTATAAGGCCCTCTCTGCTTCTCTGCCCTCCAGCTCCAACAGTGTTGGCTCCATCTCTGCCAACACCCACCCCAGCCCCAGCACCCCCACCCCAGCCCATGGCCTTGGAGCCCTGGAGGCTGTTTCTGGGGGAGGGTAGACCTGTTGAGCTCTGCAGCCTGCCAAGGCCTTTTCTTCAGCCCCCGGCTCAGGGCTACAGAGGCGCAAGGCCGGGAAAGGCTGAGCGAGGGAGGAGGGTTTGCGCCCAGCCTGGCCCACATGAATCCCCTTTTGTGCCACCCAGCTGTTGGGTTGGAGCCAATGGTATGGGCAGGAAAGGGGCCAGGCTAGGGCCAAGAGAGGTAAAACCCCCGAGGGTCCGAGTTGGCCCCAGCTTGACACTGGTCTTGTAGCTGGAGTCTGGGGCTCTTTGAGGCCAGGGCTGTAGACCACCCCTGAGCCTGGGCCTGGACCCTCTGTCCAGTGAACACACCAGTCTCCCTGAGGCTAAAGACCCCCTGCTGGAGAGGGCCTCACAGGAGCAGGAGAACGGGCAGGTCACCCTGGCATGTAAGGTTGTGCGTGCCTAGGACGGTGGCAGGGAAAGGTGTGCTTGTAGCATGGTTGCTGGTGGCCATCAGACTGGCCACATTGGGGCCTGGCTAGTCTGGTGTGGCCAGACTAGGGGGGAAGACCTGGGGAGGAGCAGGGCCAGGGCAGGCAGAGGATCCCTTGAGGGCTGGACGGGGGACGAGGAACCTGGCCGTGCGGAGTCCTGGTTGGGCTAGGGATGAGCTGCAGGAAGGAGGCCAGGCGATGGGAGCCTGGCCCAGGAAAGGAGGGTGCATCCCTAGAGCGAGTACCTGCACTCCAGCACTGCCTACCCTGGGACTGACTGCCCAGAGGGAGTCCCTCAGAGCCAGGGAGGTGGGGCACTGCCAGCTCCAGGAAGAAGGGCCTTCTCTCTGACAAGCCCCAGAGGAGCGATCACGATGCTTGCTGCCGAAGGATGGAGGCAGCAGCGGTTCAGTGGAAGAATTCTCACCGGTTCAGTTCCCAGTCAATGCATCTCATGCGCGGCCATGTCCGCTCTTGCTGTGGTGCTGAGCAGGCGTTAAAGGGGAAGGTGGAGTGCCAGTTAGATTTCCCCAGGTGGGACATACCTCGCTCCTTGCCTTCGAGCAGAAAGAATTCATGCCAAGGCATGCTAGCAAGGCTATTCTTTGGTCAGAGGGGATTCATCTTCCCTTTATTTTTTTAACGGAAACAATTTTTTTTTCTGAAACAGTTTTTAAAGGGAGATAAAATGATATTACATTTTAACCTAATTCTATCTCCCAGAATCGACTTTACAATGTCCTGTGTCTGATAACAAAGCTATTCACACCCCTCAGCTACGGTCAGAGCAAGTCACAGGAGGCCGAATCCACGCGTGGACCCTGCAAACGGATTTGGGGCTTCCTCTGTCATCCATAGCATTCTGCAACACCAGGTGTTCACAAGCTCGATATCATTTCCTACTTGACATTATTGATTGTTGACTATATGAGAAGGACTGCATTGCTAAGCGCTGGAGAACATCATGGAGAACAAGATACAGCTCTTAAGGACTTGACAGGCTTGCTGCGAAGACAGACATTAAGAAATAATTGCTCAGTGGCTTGCGAAGCTGCGATTGTGATAGATGCCAGCAAGCGATGTAATTCTATGAAGGGAATACAACAGGGACCTGACCCAGTCTTGGGGGGGTCAGGGAAGGCTTCACTGGGGGAGCAACACAGCCTCATGTTGTGGTGACCCCCAATCATAAGATGATTTTCATTGCTACTTCATAACTGTCATTTTGCTACAGTTATGAATCGGGCAACCCTAGTGAAAGGGTTGTTTGACCCCCAAAGGAGTCGCCACCCACAGGTTGAGCACCACTGCCTTAAGGTGAGGAGGAGTTTGTGGCCTTGCTGCAGCCAGAAGGCCAATGGGCACAGGGCAGAGAATTTGGGACGGCATCAGAAAAGTCACAGGATGACAAGATGCTGGGCCCCAGGATAAAAAGCAGGGTGCCTCTGGGAGACCTGGGTCCCTGGGACTGACTCGTCCTGGTCCCGCACATCCATCTCATTACAGATCTGGGAGCCTTCCAGGTTGGGCCTGGGTCCTTGCAAGGGCTGGCTGCATTTCAGCCAGGGGAGGCAGAGCCAGAGCTCGCCTGGAATCAGGAC